TCGTTTAAGCTACTTTTGCATATTCCGTCCTTCACAAACTAAAGGCTTCGAAATTAAAATGGGTTAAACAATAAAACTGTTTTGCAATCGACGTAAGAAATTATTTTTGCTTTTGTCGCGTGGTTTGTAGCAACATTTTTATTAATTCGATTAATAGTCCGTAAGCTTATCGTTGACGTCTTCCCTTCAACTTCTCAAACTCAACTGACTGCTATCTTGAAAATAAAAAAGCAGACCGACTTCTCATTCTTCCTCAATTTCCCTCTTCTTCTTCCTGTTGCTCTCTCTATAACGGCTTGCCGCTACTCTCACAAGAGCAAGCATAGATCCCGCAAAATCATACGATTTTGCCTATGCTTGCAAGAGCAAAAGGAAAAAAAAAGGATTACCGCAAAATCATACGATTCTGCCTATACTTGCAAAAGCAAGCAAAGGTACCGCAAAATCATACGATTTTTGCCTGTACTTGTAAGTAAGGAGATCAGAAAAGAACAAAATAAACACATATACCGCAAGATCATGCGATTTATTAGCGGTACCACAAAATCGCATGATTTTGTCTAACGGCATGCCGTTATTCCGCCGCTTGCGGTTGGTACAGACCGACAGACACCCTACCCGAGGTTTGTTCGCGGCCGTTACAGAGTAAGCGTCTCAATAATTGAAAATGTGTAATGTTTATTAACAGCTGTCGCATGTTTTAGAGTGATGTATGAAGTCATTCAAATCTTACCAGACCAAAATTCAGCACGGAGTCAAAAAAAATATTTAGCTCTGGACATAGAAAATCTTTCCGAACGTCGTCCTTCATTGGTACTTGGACACAGAGTTAAAACCGAAAACCCATGGGCCGACGGCGAAAATGGCAAAGAGATATATATAAGAGCGATTCACGAAGTGTTCCGCAATTGAATTCTAATTAGATTCGATTACAACTTTGAACGAAGATATAATTACGTAGATTTTCGTTTAGAATTTTACTTCCCGCGTTATGAGTACCGTAAACAACACTACGCCATCTCACGAGCGACTGAAAAATTATGAGAACAGTTCTTGTTTCCCTCCCAAGTACAGAGGCGTGAACGTCCACAATTGGATGTAAGATTAAATGGCGAGGAAAGTCCATTGTTAGACAATCGCCTGTATGGATGGTACAATTCCAAACTGAACTTTATACAGAAGAAAGCCGTAGCAAATATACTACGAGGAAAAATTCGCAATATGCCATATGTGATTTTTGGCCCTCCCGGCACAGAAAAAACGGCAACGCTAGTGGAAACGATTATACAAATTTTAAAATTGATACCGACTGCACGTATGCTTGTAGGCACACCTTCGAACAATTCTGCTGATGTAATAACGACGCAATTGATCGGCGTACTCAGAATGGATGAGCAAGGAGCTCAAAAAAAAACTTATATCAGAGCATTTGATGCCGTATTGCGCAACAGGCAACAAATACTGGGATACTGACCTAAATTACAACTGGGAAGATGAGATGATTACGGCCAAGTCCGGAGTCAAAATGAAAAGTCAAATGGAGTATTTAGGGCGCCATCGAGTAACGATTGGTACTTGTGCTACACTGGGAAATTTTTTGGTAATGGGTTTTTCACCAAATCATTTCACGCATGTGCTAATTGATGACGCCGACCATTGCACAGAACCCGAAATTATGGTTGCTGTCGCTACAATATCGAAAGAGCATGGCCGGGTAATCCTTGCCGGAGATCACAATCATCAACCAGTTACTATAAACGAATATGCTCGTGGACGCGGTTTATCCACATCATTTTTGAGGAGAATTCTTTCATGTGCTCCATAGTTACAAAATGTTGAGCGTTTTCCCATTGAATGTGGTTGTTTTCACACTCGCCTGGTTTTACGACTTCTCTGCAATTACCGATCGTTGCCGTCCATACTGAATGTTTATGATGAACTGTTGATACCAACGATAGAAGAGAATTCTGAAGAAGCTGAAATGCTGAAGCAACTTGACGACTTACTGCCGCAATTACCAAATCGACCCAAAACACATGGCACATTTTTCCACGGATTACGTAGAGAAAATATGCAGGAAAGAGACTCGCCGTCGTGGTATAATCCTTACGAAGCGAAGCGCGTAAGTTATTTAGTTTAGTTGTCTTTAGTTTAAAAGCACTTCTTCTATTTAGTATTAGTTTGGGGAAAAAGAAATTCATTATTTTTTCGGTAAATGGCTGCACTGATAGATTTCTCGTAAAGTATCGATCAAACAATTTCCGATACTGTACATTTACATACTGTACATTTCGCAGTAAAAAAAATTCTTTTGCTGTTTTTTGTTTGGCGCATTCAGTTGTGAGTTACAGCGTGTTAAAAATCTCAACTGCGCTTTAAAAAAAAAGAATTTATTCTCTGGTTAAATTTATTGCATGTGTATGTGTAAGATATAATCTAATATCTATTGAGATTGTGGCTAACTTATCCCTTGTAGCTTCTCCTGAGCACCTTTCACCTTTCACGTAAGGTTGCCGCAAAAAGGAAATTAATATATTTACTGTTTCGATAAATTTTTCGATGGAGTTTTTTCAAATTACTGAGAACATATACGCTATTTTCTCTAAAGCGCGATTAGACAATACGCTTATATTCTCTAAAGCGCCATTAGATTAAAAGTTAAGAACACGATTTATTTAACTGAAGTGAAAAGTGGGAAAAAAATTTTATACCAGTTACTTCTATAAGAGTATAGCTTAAGATTTTATTGTGGACGAAATCGAAACCTTCTGCGCAGAGGCTAACAGAACTGAACAAAAATCGAAGAGCTGATGTCTGTCTAAATTTGTTAAATCGTTTTAAAAAGTGCAACTATCTTCATCAACTTATTACGGGTGATGAAACATGGATTCTATACGACAGACCTAAAGGAAGAAATGTACGGGTTGATACGGGCCAACGTATGTAGGGAAGGTCCCTAATGATGTCAGTACTTTTGACACACTATTAAGGGAGTAGAAAACCTTTTCCATTCACCGCATTCTTTATTCTTTTTTAATCGAATACCCTAAACAATCAAGAAATTTTTCAATTTATTTTTTGATTATTTACTGGTTTGCTGAGTAAATAGAAAATATTTATTTACAGTTTTAGTTGTTTCTGGTGTATGTTTAAATGGCATATTTTATTAAAATTTATTTTAATTATTTTAAAAAGTCACCTACGACTTTCGAGAGCAAAATATTCAGTATCATTTGAGAATATGCATCCGACTTATCTTTGATGTGCAGCAGTAAACTGGGTTTGTTATTTCTTTTGTAAATGCTTGACCAATTGCTAAGTATATATATATATTTGAAATTTGTCTGAATACAAATTCCAATACGGTTGCCAATGCAAAACATTAAATAGAAAGCCTTTAAATTATAAGTGACTCGTTTTCGGGTTGGAATTTAATTCTTTTTTCAAAAAGTGCCAGCAGTTTCCGATATGTGTTCCTGACGAACTTTACCCCAACATTTATTACAAATTATTGACTTACGGTATACAGACGCCCTTATTAAGAGCGATCTTTAGCAGATCTCATTTCAGACTTTTTTCGCGTATGGCTACATTGTGATAGAGAAGGTAGACGCCAAAGATGCATTATTTTTTAATTTATCGTGAGTTATAGCAATGCTATTGTAGAAATACCTGTTGTTCGATCGCGTTTTTCAATAAGGCCGGCTTTCAGCAGATATCATTTTCTACAATTGAATTTTTTTCGCGACCGCAAAAGTTGCGAAATTCTTGACCGGGGGGCAACGTGAGCCATTGTTGACCGTTACAAATCGAGTCAAAATATCAATTTTATAAATGACCAAATTATACTTGTATGCCCACCCTTTTATTGGGACAATAATGCTAAAGTAAAAAGTATTTTACTCTTGATTTACCACCGGCACTAATTCTTTTTTTTCACAATCGTAGAAGTAAACAGTGTACATAGGAAATTAAACGTAATGGAAACAGTTGAGTAAGGAATAGGAATTGGCTAACATTTGTACTCTTTTGCATCTTAACTTAAAAAACGTAGTTAATTATGAGTAGCACATATCCAAAGCATGTTGACAATGATGAATGTATACTTTCCTAAGACGAAATAAAATTACTTTTTTAATAATATTTTGCCCTCGAAGTTTTAAGTAGAAAATAATTGGGAAAAATTAAGTATAGTCAATTAGCAACAACGTAGCGAAAGCTTATTTAATTTCGATTAGGTTTGATATTCGTTGGGAACATATTACGTTTTTTATGTCCGTAGCACGTTATATATGGCTCGTTGGTTTCGGTATTCGATATGTCTTGCACATATGCAATTAGATTTTATAATTTGTATAAGCAATTGCATGATTTTAAATTAGTTTGAAAATCCTTTGGAAATATTAGATCGGCGGCCGCTCTTTACTTTATTATTATTTTGAATATTAAATGTTGGGGAGATACAGTATTTATTGGATAACGTAACATTAATATAATCCGTACATTTTTTTTTGGGAGAATTCAAAATTTTTAAAGGAATCGCTTCTTTTATCATTGACTATACACAAGCATACATTTATTTTGGAGGAGTCAATATCCGACTTTGTAAAATTTTTCAAAATTGTTTCAAACATTAAATCGTTCTCCAGCAATGCCTTTATAATGCAGTATCGAAACAACATTAAATATTTTCTCTCTTAACTTTTCCGATAGCGCTACCAAAGTTCTCTTTAATTTTCTTTTCACATTAAAAAGTTGATTAAAAACAAAACGTTTGTGTAAACAATAACAATTCAAATAGTTATTTACGCTGCACACACATGCGAAACGCTTTGTTATAGCAAACCTTCGCACCCACAAACAAAACTATTTTGAATAAAACAGATTTCCTAGTTGATGGTAATGAAAAACTAGCTTAAACGTGCCAACTAAGCATATATTTGTATTCAATTTGCAAATCCATATTTATGAGAGCAAGTTAAACAGTTCAAAATGTTTACCTTATCACGGCCGCCATAAGTGTCTATAATATCGCAAAATTCATTCAGGTATTTAATTGTAGACATTTTTTCCTTCCTGTTTCACTTCAATAATATAATAATAAACTCCATAAAACTCCACAAGACCGCATTGATGTCAATACTATTTCAAAAATATTAATAACCATTAAAATCAGCAATTGAGAAGAAATATCAGCTGATTTTTACAATCACCACCTGTTAGCAGTAAATGAGGTGTTACCAGAAGATTATTTTTTATTATTTAACAGCAAGGGAAAAAGCGATTTGGTTTTTTGCTTTTAAATTTGCACAATTTGGAGTTTTTATTTATGAGCTGGTCTAAGCTCCTTTTTGTATAATTCGAAACCAACAAAACAGTTTGAAATAAACCTTTTTTTCTAAGTAAAGTTGTGAAGTTGCAATTGGAATGAAGACAATTTACTTGTATAACACTTGTATTATATATGTTTATATACTTTGTCGGAATTTTGCAAAATTTTAAATTCAATCTGCGATAAACTTAAAAAAAATGTACTATAATTTTTGTTGCGGCAACCTCCTTCTTGATTTATGATACCTAACGTCTCCGTTTTTGTTGAATGTATGTAGAAAACTGTAATACAACTCTATTCCTTAACAAATGAAAGTGTTTTGTTAAATTAAGTAAATGTTTTTGTGAATTGTTTGTGTACATTTAAATATATTTATTAGTATTTTAGATGAAAATTTAAAGTGAAAAGGAATAAATCTAAAGGAATGAGTGTACAAAGTAATCATCACACAACATCACCATTATGCAGTGGCAATAAATCTAAAAAATCGAAAAATGATATATTACGAAGCAGTGTAACAAGCTTGTTGAAACAAAAAAATTTCGTGGTAAATTCAAATAAAAGTAAATGTATGTTAAGTGTTTTTATGAATTATTATGCATCCGCAGGGATCTGAAAAATTTCGTAAATCAGATATAGTGTTATTACAAAATAAGAAGGGCTTCGTATTGCAAAAAATGCTAGAGGCTGATATGCATGGCGGCAATTCGTTCCTCTACTCAAATGTGTTATGCTTAACCAATAATTATCACATGGTGGATCAACAATTTGGAAGGTAAATTAATTGAATAATTTCAAAATTTTTAATGCACGTCTAGTTTACGTGATTCATAGATTCTCGCAATTTGTCGAGTCTCAGCCAGACGAGTTGAATGCTGAATTAAAACGCTTTTATGCACCCATGTTGTGCCATTTGTACTTGGAATTGATAAAATCCCGAGAGAGTAAAGGGGCCGTAGATTTAATGCGTAAATATGCTCATTTGGTAGCTCCAGTTGAAACCTATGAGGCACCTTTCGCCACCAAGATTAATGGCTGCTCGGTACCGCCGCATGAAAGCAGTGGTATGGAAGGGAGCTGGCAAAACTTAAATATACGTTATGTCGAAGAAGCCTTTGCTGATGAGGATCCTGAGCTAGATTATTTTATGAAATTGGTACAAAAATTATCAGCCTGTCAAAAATTAGATTTAATTGAATCCGACGCGGATATAGTACAATTTCGTTCCTCTAAATATGAAATACATACCAATGAGGAAGTGGTGAAAGCGTTACGTAACTTCTTGGAAAAAAGAGGACATGTTCTAATATTACATTTAATAGTGTCTTGGATCCATGTGCGTATTCTTGATAATGAAGTACGAAATCTATCTGAAGAAATGGTATTCATGCCAACGGAGGATACACTCGAAGATGAGGATGAAGATTTAGAACAAATCAAAGCAAAAATTCACATATCCAACTCTTGCTCGAATAACGAACGTCCTAAACGCTCCGCTGAAGACTTGCCCGAGGTGATAATAAAGTCCGAAATGGAAACCGACAGTAGTAGCTCGAAGGACTGCAGGTATAGCGTTAGACAATGCTTAAAAACGATAAAAGACTGTCGTGAACAAATATACAAATCCTATCTAGATTTTCCACGTATTTTTAATATTAGTGACAAAGGTCAAGGGTAAGCTTTACCTTTCATTTTCTTTTTTGTTTGGGCTAATAATTTCATGGTTATTGATTTTTGTTAGCTTATCGTGTGCATCTTTAGATCCTTATGAATGCCACATAGCTACCGGTTTTAATAGTTCCGTGATACAACTGTGGCAAGTAGATCAGCATTCAACTCGGGGGAAAAATCTCTATAACCGCTTTTCTAAAACTTATTGCCGCTGGGAACTGAACAACTTTACACTGGATGAAGATGAAATGCTATTGAATATTAAGCGATTGCATCGTGATGACGATCAACAAGAAACCTATTATCGAGATCAGTATTTTAGTAAAAAATATGAGGATAATTCATAGTAAGTAATTCATAAGTGATGTCAAAATAATTATTATCTGAAATTTCAATTTTTTAGTAACGCATATGGTGGGGTTTTCCTGCGTGGTCATGGTTCCGGCGTAACAGATATAAAATTTTCTTCCCATCATCCATTACTTTTTAGTACCTCTAAAGATAACAGCATGCGGTGTTGGCGAGCGGACAGTTTTGACTGCGCCGGCATATATAGGGGGCACCGCTATCCCATCTGGTGTTTAGACGAAAGTCCGGTTGGTATGTATGTGGCGACTGGCTCAAAGGATTTAACGGCTCGTCTATGGTCTTTAGAAAAAGAATTTCCATTGATCACTTACGCCGGCCATACTCAAGATGTGGAGGTATTTAACGCAATGTTTTTCCTTTTTTTCTTATCGAGTACTCCATGATTAACTTATTTTCAATGCTACGTATTAGTGTGTTGCCTTTCATCCAAATGGCGCCTACATAGCCACAGGATCTGCTGACTTCACTGTACGTTTATGGTGCGTGACCAGTGGCAAATTAATGCGTGTTTTTGCCGATTGCAAGCAACCAATCTGCAGCCTCGCTTTTAGTCCGGACGGCAAAATGTTGGCAGCTGGTGGAGAAGAATCAAAAATCCGCATCTTTGATTTAGCTGCAGGTTTTCAACTCAACGAATTAAAAGATCACTCATCAACAGTTGCAAGCATAGCTTGGAATACTAATGGCCGGTTTTTGGCTTCTGCCTGCCGCGATGGTACATTACGTGTGTGGGATGTTAAGAAATTACTACCCATTAGGTTTTTATTTCTTCCAATTTGCATATAGAACAAGAGAATGACTTCAGTTTCGTCTTCTTTTTAGCAGTGAGAATTCTTCTTCGTCATCGTCGTCGACATCGCCATCATCCAATAATTTAAATCGCCTGCTAGCTCTTCCTTCTAATTGCCAACGTCTGCTTAAAGTTACATTTAGTAATAATGATACCATTTGTTGTCTAGGCGCCAGTTAAATTACTATTATATTTATTTTTTATTTATTTTTTTTTTTGCTTAAATATGTTAAGACTATTTTAATTTTTGGAAAGACTGTTTTTTCATTTTTTTTTCCTTTTTTATATATAATGAGTGATATGATATGATGTTTATATTATGTTTATATTAACTGTATTTGAGTAAGCAAATCAAGTTGTAAGAAATAAAGAAATTAAGTTTGTTTTAATTTATTCGAAACGATTAGTAAATTATAGTGAGCAAATCGTAAGTCTTCAATAAGCAACGTAAAAATCAACACTCGCTGTGATGATAAGAAATTTCTTTTAGTAATCATTGAAGATTTATATACCTTAACTGCAGACCATAAATGAAATAAACTTTGATAAAATTGAATCATCGAAGATCAGCAGAAGTCATTCCGTTTGTAGCTGCGTTCGAAACTTTTAATAAACCCAAATAAAAGTCTTACCCTTTTTTTTAATCTTGACATATTTTTGGAATTTTTGAAAACAAAATTTCACTTCCGTTATTAGTTCGTTATCTTAGAACAGCTTTTAACAAACGCGCAGCTGCTTAAGAACTGAACGTTTGGAAATGTACAAACATTGCGAAAAGTAGAAGTTCCATAAAGAAGTTCCATAAACGGTGTGTCATTGGATGCATTAATAAATCAAATTCTACTTTCAATCAACCAATATCCGGATACATGGTGAAGATGATAAAAAACAGCAATCATCGGCCAAACTCTTGATCGACTTAACTTTTATTAAGGTCGAGTGAGTGTACGTCTGAAAAAATTGACTACTCACAATCGACGAAATACCTGGAATCTTTTAATGAATTTCATGCAGACTTCAAGACCTTCCCAGAAACTTGGTCTTTCCATTTTATAATGTAATATATAATGTAATTTGTGTCATACACGGAGGGAATTTCGTACTAAATTTATTCTGAGATATTAAGAGGAGATGATCCATCTTAAAGATGAATTAGATATACAGCAAAAATATCACCTACGTAATTACAAATTAATGGTACATAGATTTACAATATTTTCCAAGTATGCAAGTCAACAAAGGGAGGTGATGATGCATCTCCGGCGGAAAATTGCATTGGAACGTACAAAGAAATTTATTTAATTTCTTGAGGTTACGAAACATGTCGCCTGGACCGTCCTCTACTCAACTGTATATCGTCCGTACTTTCTTGGATCGCTTATTGCCGAGAAGAGTGGCGGTAAACGCACTTTGCGCAAAACATTGACGACAATTGTTTAATGCAAATTGATGCTTTCCAGAAAATTTCGTTGCTGCACCTGTGCGCTGCGCTCTTTGCATAACTTGTATAACCAGCATCACCAGGGCAAACGTAAGATTGTGCAAATCTTTGACGACCTGTCCGATACGTTATGGCCGATTTATCAGAATTTATGCGCATTGCTCATCCCCACACAACGTACATGCAAGTCGCTGAAGGTGCCTGCACTAATACCAGCATTGAAATAAGGAATTGTATTTCGTATTGAGTCTGTAATAAATACTTTTTATAAGAAAATAAAGTTTTTAAAGTGTTTGCATTTTTCCATTTTGGAATTCTTGATTCATTTTTTGCAATTGCTGAGTGGTGAGGCTCTTACAGCAATCTTGATCAGTTCGTCTATAAACGAAAATTCTATTTCAAGAGAAAAAGTCGATTCATTGCCATTGGACCATAGCGAAGGTCGTAGTACGGTTAATGTCTTAATACGTTTGAGAAATTTGGTAGCTTCTAAAAACAATGTAAGCTAACATTATTTTCTAAATATGTAAAAAATGTCTATTTAATAAATGTGTTTTAATAATTATGAAGGATTTGCGTAATTATAAAGAAACGGACTTGCATCGTTTCTGGATGCCAGATTCTAAAGCTAAGGAATGTTATGATTGCGCCCAAAAGTTTTCTTGATGTAAATATTCAAAATAAAAAAAAAAAAAACTTAATCTTGTTATAGTTGTTTTGATAATGCGTTGACGTTTCAGACTAGAAAAGCGTGATTGACCATTCCTTACTTATTACATCTTACCATGCCATGGCTGAAAGATAGTTTTCATTTAATTATTCAATTCCTTTAGTAGATGCGGCATATGAAAACTTACATTAGTAACAGTTAAAATGGACATTTATACGCGCGAATACTTTCGCCCAGCAAACCGGCTAGCTCACTTTTCAATCCAATCATACGTTTTTTAGTTTTATGATTTTATGACAAATATCTTTCACTTGTTGGGAGAATTCGTCACGTCTTCTATTAAGTACATTCCTAAGACTTAAATAAAGCCTCTTCATTTAATTTTTAAAAAAATTTTAAATATTAAAAAAGAAAACTATTTTACTTCTTACTTGACGATCTTATTTTATCCGCGGTCAAAATTGAAATGACAGATTGTATGAAAGAGAGAAAGAAATGCACGTCTGTAAAATTTCAGTTAATTTGCAGAAACCGTTATCAGCTTTCGTTGCATATGTGAAAACACATAGTTATTAAAAAAAAAATACTAGAATTGAAAAGGGTTGCCAATTCAAATACTTCTATTCACAGTGGTACGGAGATGAAACAAAACGTGAAAATGCTTCGGTTAAGCCGGCGACCGCATATGCGTTGTTGCTGCTAGTAGACGAAGTTACTGGTAAAGTAATATCGATGCATAGGTCATTGTTCTTAAATGAAGTCCCTTGACTGACATGATTAGTAGAATTCGAAGTTAAGCTTTGTGAGGTCTGGGACGAAGATGTAGTATTTTTAAGCAGATCACGACTTCTGGAACGTCGGCCCTTTCGAGCAGTTGTCTATTGATAAAATGTATTTAAATAATCGTTTGAGATGGTTTTCTGATACAATAAATACTTTTCTAATCGACATTTTTAATTCTTTTATGTGGCGTTAATATAACGTTCAAAGAAAGAGAATGAGTATAAAACCCCGCAAGGTATTTTAATGTACATCCCACCTGTGGGTTTGCCAGATGAGAAAGCGCGCAAGGAAATCTTGCCCTTAGCCGATGACGTTGAAATCTCTACGCTAAGCAAAAGAAACTGAGAGCTATTCAGGTGCGGAAATTCAAGCAATATGCCATGAAGTAGCTCTCAAGGCGCTAGAAAAAAACCTTGACTCGCACCTGGTGTGCTGGCACAATTCGAATACGGACTTGGTGTGGTGGCGCTTGGAATAAACCAAAAAACAAACATCAAGTAATAACTAAGTGACGATGCATCGACTGTAACCAATTTATTTATTTACTTGCCTTACACATACGTATGCGTCTACACATTTATGTTGCCATATGTCAGTACTACTACTACTACTTCGACTATGTTTACTATAAACACCTGTTAAAATGCTTGCGAAAGTTTTGAGTATTCATTCTGTCAAATAACGAACCCACAATTCCATGGTTTATCGTCCTTTGAGCTTACGTCGCTCTACGCAGCTTTGAGTGTTATTTTACTGTACGCAGCCGGAGTAGCTGCGTTTGGACAATTAACACATCCCCGAAGGCCAACAATCACGTGGGACGCTTTAAATAGAGTTTAAAACATTTAAGAAATAAATACTAAAATATCGAATAATAAACGCGGTGATATTCAAAAAATAGGGCGACTGACAGATTGAACAGACTGATATCTATGCCAATTTACTACTACGAATTAATAAACATGACACAAATTTTCAATTTATTTTGGGAGTTGTAGAAAAAATTGACCGATTTAAACCATTTTCAATAGCGTTCTTCTTTGGGCCAAAGTACGGCGGTGTACCAAATTTCATTAAAATATCGCAGAAATTGCGACCTAGAGCTTGAACACAAATTCATATGGGCAGGCATTGGACGGACGGGCTGGCAGATAGACGGACAAAAGTACAAACGGACAGACGAAGAGGCGAAGAGAAAGGCTCATTTGTAATTTTTCCGTCCATCGCGTTTGCAAGAGGGAAACTTGAGAGTATATACATTCCTGATCAGCATCTAATTATAAATCGAATTATGTACGTCCGGCTGGCTGTCTGCCCATCTATGTAATCTTTGTTTGTCTCTTGACGATAAAAATTAAGCTGGCAGAAGCATTCGATATTATTGTACAGAGGCTGGTATTGAAAATGGCGCATATCGATCGAAGGACACGCCTACAATGTGTTGTTAAAAATTGCGTTCCTTGTTAATTATTCATAAACTACAGCAGATAAAACTACAAAAATTTGAAAATCGATTAATATCCCATGAGTATATACTGGCAATTTCCGCGTGGTGTACTTGTTTCAACGGCATTTTTGACGAACTCCCCTAATTCTGGTGTCGTAGTCTCGGTTTGTCGTGAGTTTCTATTGGGTGTCTCACAGAGTTGGGGTGGCCTATAATTAAATTTTGGGTTTAATGACGACGGGAGCTTTTTTGGACACAGTATTGGACCATTTAAAAAAGTTTGTTTCAATTCATCGTCAAGAGCCAACAACGGCATACCATCGGTCTGTGGACATGCAACTGCTGACAATTTGGTGTTACAACTGGGATAATCGTACATTCTTTCTTCTTTCCTGCTTGTAAAAGATGTATTGTAAGCTTTTTTCCACACAGCATGTTTCGCTTTTTAGAAATAACTTTGTTTTATATACAAAGTAAATTATTCTCAATATCATCATAAATTTCGTGAAATTCATTTAGAAAGGCTTCCATACGTTTTTTCCCTTTTTCAGTTATAAGCACGTAGTTGCCATTAGCCGTTTTGAAAACTCTGGGTTGGTCGGCTTGTGCACTGCTCTTTGCCATATTTTTAAATTTGAATTCCATGCGAACCTTTGTATCTTTCTTTCCAGTATCATAGTCTTTTTCGAACATTGGTCTGGTTGCGGTTGTTCTAAACTTGGATTCCATACTTTTATTCGATATCCGAGCTTTTCTATCTTTTAATTCAGTTTCAAGCATTGCTATTGCGTTTGATAATCGTAAGTAATACGTATCACGTAACTATTGCGATATATCATGCTAGGTCGGACCACCCACCTTTTATT